GGGGTGGGGGGGAAAAGGAGTCCGGAGGCGGAGAAGAGGGAGGGGGCGGAACCGCGGCCGCCTCGTGGAGCCAGGTAAGGGAGCGGCCTCGGGCGGGAGGCAACTGCCTGGGGGCGGCCTTCGTTCACGCGCGGAGGGGCGGCGTCCCGCGTACTCCGAGCCAGGGTGGAAGCGAAAGTGAAGCCGCTGACCGGTTTCTCCACCGTGGCCTCCAGCCAAGCACCTCGCCCCACCATTCCGCCGGGAGGAGCAGCCCTAAAGGCCGGCCCTCGCCCGGCGCGTGCGGCCGTAGCGTCTTAGCGTTCGGCCCCGCCCGGTCCCGCCCTGCCCCGCCCCCTTCCTGGCGCGAGCCGCTTCCTGACGCGATTCCCCTCCCCCTTCGGGTTCGCGTAGGGAGTCGGGCCCCGGGCCGCCACCGCCAGCTCGGCCGCTGTCGCCGCCGCTACCGCCATCGCCTTGATTCCCCCATCCCCCGCCATGGCCGAGGAGCTCTCTGCGGCCACGTCCTACACCGAAGATGATTTCTACTGTCCTGTCTGTCAGGAGGTGCTCAAAACGCCCGTGAGGACCGCGGCCTGTCAGCACGTGTGAGTAGACGCCTCCTCCCCCGCGGGGAGCCGGGTGGTCGTTTAGGCCCGGCATCCAGCCCCGGACCCTCGGCTGCGGCCTGGCAGGAGCGGAGCCCACTGCGACCTGGCCGAGCTCCCCTCGGCGCGGAGGGCCTGTTGCCTCCCGCCCTCCTCCCGAGCTCCGGGCCAGCTTCCTGCGCCCGCCCCGGTGCCCGAGCCCCTGGCCCCCGGGTATCCATCCCTTGCTTTCGCGCCCCCGGGGTAGTGGCCAAGCTTGTCTCGGTCGTGTCTTCAGGCCCCGGAGGCCCCCTCTCCTCCAGGCCCAGGAGGAATTGCAGGGAACGTGGAGCCTTTTTGTTTCCTAGCAACCCGAGTGAGGGCTGGGGTGTCGAGTGTCAAAACCGACCGAAGGTGCCCGCACCGGCGCGCTCGCCTTCCTCGCCCCACTACCCCCCACTCTATGACCTGCCTTGCTTTAAAGTTTTTCCTTCTTTCGGAACCTTGGTCCATTCTTTCCAGATCCAAGAACGCTTATCTAACTTAACCTTTCCACCCTGCTTCACAGACCACTCTTGAAAATGTTCTCTCTCCTTTAAAATTCAGTACATGTTAGAATGATCTAGAACGGGTTTTCTTCTCTCACGTTAGAACTGACAGGATTTCCGGGTATTGAAGTGATAGTTTCCTTTTGTTTTACCCTTCTGCTTATTACTTGGTTACTATGAAGGTGGAGATAGGAAAGGAAGATTGCTGTTTCGTGGAATGAACTGAAGATAAGGCAGTAACTCCAGGAGTGAGGGAGAACACAAAGGGATTAGATGAGGTGGCATGGTGCTGTTCGATTTGGCATACTTACAGGAAGAACTTCGATCATCCTACAGATAATTTTGGTAGAGTGTCAGTAAGAGTTGGAAGAAGCCCTTCTTGTAAAGATATGTAGCACATCTGACAAACCTGGCTGCTGATCAGAGTCCTTGAGGAACTTTGTAAGTAAACATACCAATACCTAGGCTCCATTCCAAATTTACAAAAGAATTTCTGGCAGGTGAAGCTTGGAAATCTTTATTTGAAGAAAGACACTCAGATTTGAAAGTTCTGTGTGCTTGCAAATAGCTGAAAAGAATGGGACACATTTATTTATAAATACATTTCTTTTTCCTTCAACCCTTTTTTTTTTTTAATTTTGAGAGATAGGTTTTGTAATTTCATAAAGAATGGAATGAATTTTGGGTTCTTAATCAGAGATTTTATTACAGTTATTTGATACCCATTTTTCTCACTCTGATCCTCAACCTTGACTGCACTGTCTACCTTACTCCTATTATGCGGTCATTGTGTGAGCCAGGAGTATGTGACTTTATAGGAGTTGTGCCAGTTAAGTTTTGTTGTTATGGGACATGAATGACTGTCTGAAATTGCTTTATTTGGTGCAACAAATGCAGATTGTTGGAGAAATATTTTGAGATGTTATGTTAAGGGCACAATGTATGCTTTATTGCCTTTAATCTGTCAGTGTTCATTATTATAATTTGATGCCTTTCCTATGCTTGTGCTGGCAGTGGGTGGACAAAAGGGAAGGTAGGAGGTCAAAGAGGAAGTGTTTCTGGACAGAATCCTTATCCTTTGGGTCATTGACCTCATAGAACTCATTGTAATCTGCAGCTCTCCTCAAAATTCCATGCAGTTTGCTCTAGTTTGCTTCCCTTGTGGGACATTTAAAAAAATACTTTTTAATGTTTATTTAGTTTTGAGAGAGACAGAGACAGAGCTTGAGTGGGGGGGGGGGTGGTCAGAGAGAGAGGGAGACACAGAATCTGAAACAGGCTCCAGGCTCTGAGCTGTCAGCACAGATCCCCACACGGGGCTCGAACTCAGGAACCATGAGATCATGACCTGAGCTGAAGTCGGACGCCCAACGGATTGAGACACCCAGGCGCCCCTCCTTGTGGGACATTTTAAATCAGACTAATTTGGCTTGACATCTAGGGTATGGAAAAGAGAGTGGAGATGGTTGTTGAGGATCTTTTTCTAATCATCTCATTGAACTTGGAGATGACTAAATGTTACATTTACTAGACTAAACGTAAAAATGAAATGTAGGGTAGATTTTATTGGTAAGAAGAATGAACATTTACTGCTTTATCACCCCATCTCCTCCCTCCCCGCCCACAGACACACATGCTCTAAGGTTCTGCCTGAACAGTGAATTAAAGTAGGTGGTGGTGGTTGGGGGGGGGGGGG